AAAAAAAAAAAAAAAAAAAAAAAAAAAAAAAATCAAAATTAAGCTATGACAATGACACGCCCGCGTGCGATTACAGTGTATAAATAAGTTGAATCCAAAAGACATCCATCAAACTGAAGCCAAACGAGAAAAGTGCAGAATTCCGCCGCTAAAAATAAAAATACAAACAAAAAGGAAACAAGAAAGGAAGAGCAAACGGCATCGAAATGTTAATTTACTTACTATACACAACTCTGACTCTGACAAACAAAGATAATTTAACACTCAACCAGCATAAAGCAAGTATATTGACACATCATACATACTGACTGTGACACACATTTGTACAAAGACACCAAGACTAAAATGTATTAAGAGAAAAAAGATCAGGCAGAAATTCCGGATGAAATTCTTTCCTTACTACTTTGATTCTCAACTCTTTTTAAACTTCTGAAAAACATGATACTGGGCTTATCTTGAAAATGCAGCCCTCAAAGAGGACCCGTATCATTGAAAATAACTACACACAGACAAACTATTTTCTACTTTTTTTTGCTTTTAAACCCTTCTTTTTAAGCGCTGGAGTCTTCAGTGCCAGCAAAGCTGAATGTTTTTCGTTTTGTGGTGAACTTAATTTTTTAGCCGCAATTTCGGCTTTCAGGTTTTTATAGTTCACGTACGGTTTCTTGAGTGGCTTAGCACCAAGCTTAACAGCAAGCCTTGTTCGTGCATTTTCCCGTTCTGAACTGTCACTGCACTCATCGGCTGCAAACTTCTCCACCTACAACAAAGCAATGGGTATACGCGTAAAAGCAAACAAACAATAATGTTGAAACAAGTAAAAGGGTAAACAGAAGCAGAGCAGTAAAACGTGAGCTGTGAAAACAAAAACCTCAAATGTCACACGTTTGAGATTTGGGCGCTGAATGTTGTTTGCAAATAGGCCCGTTTGTTTTTTCAGTATTTTTGGTGCAAACCCATTGGTTGGTCGGTCCCGAGCGTAGGATACCACCTAAAAATTATTTTATAAACTATGACAAAGGAAAAACAAAGTTAATCAAATGATAGAGGAAATCAAACATACCTCAACGTTTTCTGAGACACCATTAGCAAGCGCAAAAACCCGCGGTTGGTTGAGATCTTCTGCTGAATCTGATTTTGATACTAACGACTCTACAAGCTCTTCTAATGATTTAGCCCCACCGGCAGAAAAAAATAAATCTTCTTCAGCCATACATCCCCAATCGTCCATAGTCTAATGGTCGTCTCCTAAAAACTAAAAAAGGTACTATCTATTATTTGCCACTTTTCAATCTGCTCCCCGAAAAAGACAGCTTAAACAACACGGTCACACTGAAGCACTCAGTAAACAAAATATTGTTTTGAATTTTCCGTTTAAAACAAGCCTTATGCTGTTGTCTAGCAAGTCAATACAAAGTTAAAAAAATCTAGAGTACTAATCTATTTCCTTTAAATTTTTAACTGCTTCGGAGTCAAAATTTCAAGC